CCCCGGCCTGAGGAATATGGTCTTTCCTCAGCAGCCCACTGGGCTACAGACTCATTACTGCCACATATCAGTGGCTACCTGTGTGTTTGATCACAGTTTCACGGGAATCCTAGTTAAAATAAATAGACACCAGGTTGACTCCAATGGAGTTTTACGGGTGGCCTTGGAAGGCTGAGATTTCTTGTCTAGAGAACTTGTAACAACAGGGCACAAAATTAGTTGGTAAAATAAATATAAAAATAACAAAAAAACAAAAGAAGGCAATGAGTCATAAGCTCATATATCTTTTCCTAATATATGCTCATATATGCTTTCCTAAGCATATATGCAACATAATCCCAGTTAGATAAATACCCTTCCCTTCCCTTTCTTTCCCTTCCCTTCCCTTCCTTTCCTTTCCCTTCCCTTCCCTTCCTTTCCTTTCCCTTCCCTTCCCTTCCTTTCCTTTCCCTTCCCTTCCCTTCCTTTCCTTTCCCTTCCCTTCCCTTCCTTTCCTTTCCCTTCCCTTCCCTTCCTTTCCTTTCCCTTCCCTTCCCTTCCTTTCCTTTCCCTTCCCTTCCCTTCCTTTCCTTTCCCTTCCCTTCCCTTCCTTTCCTTTCCCTTCCCTTCCCTTCCTTTCCTTTCCCTTCCCTTCCCTTCCTTTCCTTTCCCTTCCCTTCCCTTCCTTTCCTTTCCCTTCCCTTCCCTTCCTTTCCTTTCCCTTCCCTTCCCTTCCTTTCCTTTCCCTTCCCTTCCCTTCCTTTCCTTTCCCTTCCCTTCCCTTCCTTTCCTTTCCCTTCCCTTCCCTTCCTTTCCTTTCCCTTCCCTTCCCTTCCTTTTTTTTTCTTTTAAAGTACAATTATCTCTTGAACCTTCTTCCACCTTTGAATTGCATCATGCACAAAGTCACTCCTAGCCATTCACCCTTCTGAAATTAGAGTTTGGAGATTTCTTTAATATGTGCTTTGAAAATCTGGATCTATCTCTAAATGATGACATAGCATCTCTCTGCTTGTACCAGACTTCTCAAGAGTTGGATGTTATTTTTATGCAGATCACTGTGAGCTGACAGAGGGTTTAAATAATTACTTGGATTGCAACAGAGCCTGCAAGCCTTGCTGAGGATAAGAGACAGATTGTATACGTGTGATAGCTCCTGCACTGGAAAGCTGAACAGATAATATTTTAGCTTTTTCTTTTCCCTTGACAGAGAAAAGCCAGAAACCCAGAGAGATGGAGGTCTGGAGTTTTAATAGACTTCTGCAGTTTTCATATCAAAAGGTGTCATTCCAGCATATCCAGTATCAAGACCTGGACTTTAATTTACACTGCCACACTACAGCCTTATCCTCTCCCAGCACCTGCTTGCACTGATCCTGAAACTCCCATGGAGCCCATGGACCTGAGCAGGCACGGCACATGTGAGGAAGGTGAGCAGCAGGCACATGGGCTCGCACTGGTCTGGCCACATCCTGGAGGCCCTGCGCTTGGAGGATCTCCACTAGGAAGGGAGCTGCAGCTGGTGGCCCTTCCCTATGACAGCCCTTTCCTCTCCTCTCACCGGTCACAAGCAGGGCTACCCCAAACATTTGCAGAGAAGATGAGTAGGAGGTGCTTTAGGTCCTTACGCCATCTCCTATACTGAGCTCACCCAGGACACAGAAAAATTTGCTGGCATCAAAGGATATTTCCATCATTTACCGTGATTTATTCAAGTACCAGAGCCCCATTTCTGGGAAAGCAGCAGTGGGAGGTAAGGTGGGACACCTGCCCCTCCCCCACATTTGACCCGAACAGAAAGTGATTTCATAAGACACATAGCAGATGTACAGGATTTCAGAGAGGCTTTTGTTTTGCAGGGGTGTGCTACAGTGGAAGAAACCCCACATAGGAAATGCATGGATAGATACCCCTTCTTCCTTATTCACACACTTTGAGGGTTGAAGACTGATCTTCCTTTAGTTGTCATCTTCATTGCCAGACAAGAAAATAGAGAAGGTAATTTCTAGGACTACAACTTCTTTCAGCCATAAAGTACCTGCAGTAAGTCTGTCATCTAACAAGCTCAGTTTTACCAGCGCAGTGATTTTAGAGCTATAGGCTGTAGAAAATGTAAGATATTAATTCAGAGTAATTTCGGCACCACTTCTCCAGCTCATCTGTCAAACAAGAACACATTTGCAGCATGTGACTGAGCTGAGGTGATAATGCTATCTGGGCCACCCAGCGCGGAATAGCATTTACAAGGAAATACTGCATGAGACAACTTTTTTTTAATCACCCATTTCTCAAAGCTGTTATCCAAACTGAATTAATTAAGAAGGATCTGGGTTACAGGAAACTCCTATGGGATTATTTTCATTGAGTGGAATCCCTGATAAGGAGAGACATCTACAGAGAGAGATTTTGCCCCAAGTAAGTGGTTCCAGCACAAGGAGACACTGCCAGAGGGACAAGTCTTATCTTAAGAGCTGGGCCCAAGCTCTAACAAGCTGCAAATATGTCTTGTCAGCTCTTAGCTGAGCAAATCAGAGCGGAAACTGGGAACAGGTCCAAGTACACGTAGATAATAAGGTGTGTTACTGCTCTGTCTCTTTGTATCCATTTTCCAAATCTAGTAATTAGTTTGTTAACTTTGTATTTTAACGGGCTAAAACTCGTTTTACTTTTCACCTAAATCTTATCTGCTGCGCAGACTGATTTCAGGGTGATACGGCAACTCTGGAGGTGTTCCGCTCTCCACGGAGTAATAAACGAAGAGCAAGTACACCGCGTTCCCACTGGTGCGCTCGACATCCCAAGAAGCGCTGAAGGGTCTGTAGGTCTTTGCAGTTTTTCCTCACTGAACTGCAAGGGCCTGCTACAAGGCTGCTAACAGAGATCCCCAGTGGTGCACAGGAATCTCCCAGCAGCTTACATGAGACAAGAGCACAAAAGATGGGGTATGCAGAGGGAACCTGAGACTTGGGGACTGGGTCCCAGCACTCTCTGCATAAAGTCTTTGAGAAACTACTCGTTTACCTCCTCCCTCAAACTGATGCGCCTTTACAAAAGGTTTGATAGCAAAAATCTGCCTGCTTGTCATTTATAACTTGTTACGGCCTTACCTAGTAATCCAAGTACATATTTATCTCCATGATTTATACAGAGATCCTCAGTCAGTTCACTCAAAGGTGGGTATCATCATGTAGCTGCATGGATCCCATCACAGGGTCTCCTAGCCAGTGTGTGCTCCCCTCAAGTGTTTTTTTTGTTTCCTGGGTCAAACAGGTACCAAAGACATTTTGGTCTTCATTGTCTGTTGCAGGATGCCATGACTCCTTCTCTGAATATGGTATATGGAGAAGAGGTGGTACAGAGTTGTCTGAGTGGCTTCTGGAAACTACAGGTCCACAGGGAAGGTGAATGATCCAGGTTTGGAGATTGCTCCATGATGGAAGAAATAAACCATTATTTTGGTAATAGATTAGCAGGAGGAACAAAGTGGAGTTCTGTTCAGGAGGAAAGTCAAAGCTGATCTCTGACCTATACACAGGCAATCTCTGGCACATCACTATCAAAGTACGTTCCCCTAATATTCCCATTACCTCACATTTATAATGTGACAGCACTTTACAGTAACAGACAAGGATGGAAATGCATAGAATGCAAGCACAGTGTTAGTTAATAACTAACTTCTGGTACTTCGTTAGTTAATAACTAACTAACTGGTACTTCGAGGTACCAGTGATGGTTTAAGAGTAGTCAACCAGCTGATGATACTACCATGTGTGGCAGTCAGGGGGCTGCATACGCTAGATCCTGTGATGTGGATGTCACAGCTCAATACAGCTTCTGTAGTCTTCTTGCTGTACGATCCCCGTTTCTAGTATTGATGCATTCAATTTTGTAGTAAAGCTGCCAGGAATATTTGGGTAGTCAAATGTAAAAATCAGCCTTGGTTTTTATTGGGAAAGATGTTATCTCTTAACAGATTGGCAAACATTTCTTGACTGAATAAACTCGAGTAATTAATTCACCTCTGTAGAATGGCCAGAACTATGGGTCTCAGCCTAGGTAAACGCGATGCTAGTCAACCGTTGCTTCTTCCAATCTGATAAACACAGTGACCATAGACGTATCAGTGGGGTTATTCTGTCCGTGCGTCTGTGCTGCCTCACATTGGAAACTTGAAATGATCAAGCTTTCCCCCGCAGAGCTCCTTCCCCTCTTTGTATCTAGGCCTAAAATAACAACAGAATGGCCCTTTTTGTTGTGGCAGCTCAGTGGGTTCTTTCTTTCCATTCCTGTTCCATACCAGGAAGTGAAGAGGCGTTTCAAAATAAAGTAATTACAAAAAGGTTAACCAATCCCTCTGCTCCCCTTTCCCCACCACCACAACCAGGATGTGTGCTGTGATATCCAGATCAAGCCAGATGGGCTGTTGACTGTCTTTGCCTGGACAGCCTGACTTTACTGGCCGGAGGAAAAAGGTTGATGATTACTCCTTTTGCAGTATAAGTCACCTTTTGAGCTGTTAACCCAGACAAGCCTGCATACCGCAACAGGGTAAGCTGCTGACAGGGAGGATGGGATACTGGGTTACTGTGGTCAGTTTCTGGGATATTACAGGCGATGCTCTTGTGCATGGCAGATCCATTTGGATCCATTTCGGCTTCTTTCAAGTTCTTGTAAATATATATATGCTTTCTCACAAAAAAGCAGGGAAAATCTCTGCGTATATGTACATATGTATATCCACTTAGCTGTCCTTCTTATTTGCAAACCAAAGCCTGCTTCAGCAGTGTGACCATAAAAGTGCAACTGACAAATAAAGTGCTTTTTACTGTGACGCAAAATTAAGGTGTGGAACTACTACTGCAGGGCAATGAGGATGTCAGTAATGAAAAAAGAGTTCAAAAGGGAATTAGGGAAAAAAATCACAGAGGACAGATGCACTGATTGCTATTAAATGTGATGCTATGTGCTCATAGGGAATGTGTAAACCACTGATGGTAGCTAGGGAGATGTAAAACAGAATGTTTGTTCCTTTTATGCTCTTTCTGAACATGCACGTGCTGCTGGCCACTGTTGGAAACATCTCCCGATTTGACCAAATACAGAATTTCTTATGTGCTTAATCATGTCTCTACACACACAACCTCACAGCATTCTCCCAATAAATATTAACTAGGACTGAGTATGAACTCAAACTTCTTGGTCTGCTATGAGTTTTGTATCCAACTGAAAAGAAATGCAAGTTTTTAGAGCAATGTGAAGAGTTACATATATTTTGTTTGGACTGAGTCTTTAAACAAACAGTAAGTGCTTTAGGGAGTTTATCTTTTCCCTATACTATATGACTATTTACCTCTTTTCTTTTTCACATCTTCTATATCTTCTCTAGGCTATATGGAAAACCCAAACAATTGCAGGAGTGCCTTGAGCACAGAGTAACAGAAGCGGAGATACATACACATACTCAGGTATGAGGATAGATTTGGAAAAAAAGGTAATAAGACTTGTCACTTGTAGTTTATATTGGCTGTGAGGAGACCTATCTCTAATCCGATCTCCATGGCTTGCACCAGTACTAATTCACTCTTTTGCCTTTTCTTTGTCTTAACTGCAATCTCCGAGTAATGGACTTTTTTTGCTGCTATGTATCTGTAAAGCCAGTAGGCCTCTGGCAATTTTTGTGGCCTGAAAATGCTACCAGTATTTAATAATTAATAATAGGCACCAACATTCTTCAGAGATCTGCCTCTGCGGAAAAGGGGAAATCCTAAATTGTCTGTATAGCACTAGATATTTGGTATTTTCAGTTTATAATGCAAGTGAGATCATATGAAGTATTTAAATTACCTACTGATGAGTCAAAAGAATGCAAGTAATAAGGAACTTACCCTGTCTTCACATTAAAATGGAAGTTTCAGACTAGTCTTGTTGATAAATTTATCTCATTAGGGGAAAAAAAAACATTAAATAACATCTCTTATTATTTGTCTTATGACAGCACCTAAAAGTCGAGCCCTAGATCTGGCCTGCCCTATACGGGAAGCTATACGAGCAGAGAACAAAACTGTTGGTCTTGCTCCAAAATGGTGTACAAGGCATTAGCTACCTCTGTTTTGCTCTGCTTGTACACAGCCTCCTTTAATGAAATGCTCCTCCATATTACATGGGAAGCATCTCACTCCTGCTTTGCCGTCCTTTTCCCTTTCCCAGTGAGGGCTGTTACCGCTGAGGAGGAGAACTGCTCTGTTGTGTCTTGCTGGGTTGTTGCTGGATCACGATGAACCCAAGAGCTACGAATGTTCTCTCCTGTGTGCTGTAAACTTAGATGGACACGCAGTTTTCAGCCTCAGCGTCTCAGGGGATTATAGCAGATCAGGAGCTCTTGGCAGCCTTTCTGACTGACATTGACAGGTTCGCCTTTCTCTGGGAAAAGATGAGGGCCTGCAAATGCAAACAGAGGGGAGGGATTAACCCAGCAGGGGAGAATTAGAGCAGTAACAGAGCAAAGGAAGGAAGCCATGGAAAGCATTAGTTGTAGAGCTACCCAGCTGAGATAGTGCAACAGCTGTCTGGGAGAGCATTTTCCTTGCAAAGATTGCTTCAGGGTTTGCGGTGCTGATTCGAAGCCTGCTGTAGCAAATGGGTGCTAGGGAAGAGGAAGAAAGAAGATATTCCAGTGACTGGTGGGGGCAATGACATAGGTCTGCCAAGTGATCAGTGATACTCTGTTTTGCAAGACAGGTTAAGTAGAATTTTATCTCTTTAGCCTATAAATTTAAACTCTACAGTATGTGTGTATCTAAGCATTCCTAATACACGTAATGCCCAACAATGACAATGAAATAGCAAGACTGTGGACTGCCTTATTTCATATAGCAATGTTGACTTGGAGGTCTCTAATTCAAACCTCTGCTTAAAACAGGGCTATCACTAACGTTAGCTCAGGGTGGCCATAGCTCTGTCTAGACAAGTCTTGAAAGCCCTCCAGAACTGAGATTTTATAGCCTCTCTGTATAATGTCTTCCAGCACTGTACAACCCTCCTGGTGAAGAAGACCACCTTTGTTATGTGGATGCATAGTACCTGTTAACAATTGGGTTTCTTGAAGCCATAAACTATTTCCAGTATTTTTACAAGAAACGGTATTTTTAATTTTTGAAGGCTGTCTTACATGTTTATGTGGGTTGTTAGTAATAATGTGGATGCCCTGGTCTGAAGGTTCTTGTGAACTGAGGCCAGGGAGACCAGGATCAGGAATAATTTGTGAACGTATCCAGCACCCTTGGCTTCTTAGACAAAGATTAGGGTGCAGCAACAAGAGGTGGGATTGGTTCATTTCTGGCCACCTCATAAGACCAACTGTGGCTGTGAAAGACTTTCCTCAATGTGTAGCAGTCAAAAGCAAGAGGCTGCTGGTTTGTGAGGTGCGTTTATTGCTTTTGCAACAAGTTATGCAGATGGCCCCGGCCTCGCTCAGAACAGCCATCTTGGCCACAGTCATGCAGGTCTACTGCAAAGTGAAGATGAGATAAGATCCTATTTGATCTAGGGTTTTGTTTAGTTGATTTACATAATTTAATATAAGATTTTCAAACTTTTCTCTCTGCATATTTCACATGCTTAAAAGCAAATGTTGTTTTTATAGATTTGATGAGAAAAGGATGCCTTCTTCTTAAGTTCCTTGTGCTTTCAGAAATTTTAGACTATATTTTTAATTTCCTGAGTCCTCTTCTGTACATCTGGACTTGAGATCAATTCAACGGTGTGGCAGAGTTCTCTCAGGAAATTAAAAGTAATGATTTGGCTTCAGTTTATCAATTTTTCTTTTAAGACCCTTAAGCTAAAAAGTAAAGACATACCATCACACACACACACACACACACACACACACACACACACACACACAGACATATATTTATTATTTGCAATACTTATTGCTACATGATCTACTGTCCCTGTATTCTCACAGTTTTCCTTTTCTTCCTGCTTATTTTCACCCAACATATAAGTAGCTCTGGTCTGCTGGTTTGGGCTTTGAGACTTCCCACTATATTTGTTTTATTCTAGAGTGTACAGACGGGAAACAAATATGGAAAAATAAGCAGGAGGAAATAAATAATTATAAAGATACCACAACAAATCTAGATTTCTAGTAAAAATTCTATTCGGATAGATTCTTAAATTGAAAATTTATGCTATAAGCTTAACCCTGTAGAGAAAAATTACTTATTCCCAAGTGTATTTTTTGTAGTTTCCCATCACAGTGAAAAGCGTTTCTAGCATATTCAGTGATACGCAATATTCCTTTCCTCAATTAAGGAATGTGGGGCTTGTTCTGCTCTGAGGTTAAATTTGAAATAGTCTTGGATTAACCTTGGAATATGGTTATATAGTTGAATGTACAATTAGAGATACAGTTAAATAATGCTGATGATGAATGACACTACTTTGTGCACAAGGCATAATTAGGCTTTGTCATCCATGCAAGAGGTCTTAGCTATGGGCTTCATTACAAGCTTTACAACCAGAATCATTAGATATACATAGGATCTAAAGTTTGAGCGTCTTGGTCTTTTGTTTTTCCAGCCTCTTTGGGTAGACCTCACTATTTCTTCCTAGTTTTCTAAGGGGGCTGTGGGCATCATTGAAGTTATTACTTATGATGCATCAGGGGGATGCAGGCTAGCTGGAAACCATAACATATAAAGAAAAATGAGAACATATGAGCTGAGAATTACTGCTCCCACAGAATATTCTAGTGTTGTTTTGAACGGAAACACTTTTAGTGTTCAGCTAAATATTATCCTGTTCTCTTGATAAAATATCAATGATTGCCATAAAAAGTAGATACTTTTCATACAGCCAAATGAGATTTTTTTTTTTTTTTAAATCCTGTTAAATATGTTGCAACATGGTATTTCTGTTGTTACTTTTTGCATAAGTACAACCAAACACAAGTAATCTTATTACCTGGACATGTTTTTGGAAGGTGAGAAAGCCTATTTTTGCTGATAACATTTCGGGGGGGGAGGAGGGGGAAGACTCTTCAAAACCTCTGAAAATCAGAACAATTTTATTTAGATGCCTATATTGAAAAGGATTTGCAATACCACTTTTTGGCACCCAAATATGAATATTTCAACTAATGAAAGTATTGTTCCAGGATGAATGGAAGAAGGTAATATTACTTGAATCCGGAAAGGAGAGAAAGCAAAGAAAGAACTCCATATAAACACTCTGAGAAACCATATTTAAAAAAAAAAAAAAAAAGGTTGCATAAACTTTTACTTTATCTGTCAGCTGAAGTGCAAATACGTCCAAAGTCCAAAGCAGAAGTCTGCTGCAGTGAAAGACATTTCAAAGCAATGATGCATACAAAACCTCTCTGGAAATAGCCCAACAGCCAAGAATTTCCCTCCATTAGGAAACGCCCTCATTCCAAAGCCTCAGACATCTATTTTGAATACATGTAATTTATTGCCCCGTCATCATAATATCACTATTATTTATTTACCTAGGATGATAACAGTGACTAAGACCCTGTTAGTCTTAGTCATTGTCAGGATCAGAGCTTGATTATGCTTTACAGATATCAAATGGAAGTTTATCCTTGTTTTAGAGAGCGTTTAGTATAAATTAACAACAGGTTTAG